AAGCCATATTTCTACATTGGATCTTTTCTCCATCATGTAAAACAACCCCTGCACCCACACTCGTCTCTGACATATCAACAGATGTTTCCTATACCCCGGCTAATCACAAAACTACTTCCAAATTTCGGTACAATCCAATTCATCGCGCCTGTTGGTTCCGCCTACGATACTCCCAATACAGGCAACCCAGCACATCCCGAGTGCATCCGTGGTCCGGTGCGACATCGGTTCACCCCCAACCTTGCTCCTCAACCGAATTATGACGGATAACCTGGTCCTACTTGACATTTCGTACTCTGCACTAACCCATTCCACAGCACTACACGATAAAGACCCGATCCGAACCACAGAGGTGGGTCCGCTATTTAGTAGGTCAGAAAGCGAATACGTGGCACACTCGATGGTGTCAGTTTTTTGTTAGCACCGGCCTGAATTGTCCCAGCGCATATCCTCCATTGTCGACTCACTTGGTCTAAGCTTTGTAAGATTCGGTCTAATAGTAAATATCGATATAAATAACCGAAATGAGACATTTGATAGTTATATTTGCCTCGTGAAAACAGCAATACTCTGAGGGATTGTGAGGCCGAGACATTGCCTATATATAATCCTCTCTGTACTGTTTCCGCCGAAGTGATTTTATTTAGTGTTTCGTTGTCGCTCTATTCTGGGGCGAATCCGAGAGACTCATAAAATCCTATCTTTAGAATAAATAAATAATAAATAAAAATACTCTTGACGTCCTTAGTTATTGTCTTAACCAATATCTTGCCACTATCAAAAATTACCGGCTTAGCCTTCATCAGACTGGCACATCTGGTTGGCTTATCGGAGGATCAACTAGGTAACGTTAATAGTCCCTAGAAACCTATATTCGGTTGAGCCATCTCGCTACCGAAGTATTCAGATATAAATAAAATTGGAAAGTAAATAAAGCTCTATTAATAGAACTAGACCAACTCTTTTATGTTTGATATTTTACTGAGGCCTTTTATTGTTTTAGGGTTTAGAAGCCATTTTAGGAAACTTAAGTTCATCGTGGTATTAAGAGCACATTTAGGAGACTTAAGTCCCTCGTACTACACGGCGCAGACCCGATCCGTACCACAGAGATGGGTACTCTACTTAGTTTGTCAGCAAGCGAATATATGGAACATTCGATGGTAGCAGTGTTTTGTCAACACCGGCCCGGAATGACTCAGCACATATCTTCCATTGACGACTCACTTGGCCCAAGCTTCAAACGGGAATTTACTGACCACTTCTTCCCATCAATCTTTCCTGAGCCACTTCATACATTATATCATATATACTTGCTATTTTTTAAATAAATAATATTATCCCTATTAAGAGTACATTTAGGAAACTTAAATTCCTCGTACTATTAATAGTACGTTTATAATTTGCGTACTGCTTAAGAGTACGTTTATACATGGAGTCTAATGTGGAGGCCCGGCTTATTACACACTCACTTCAAATGGGTCCTTAAACGCTGGATACAATGCTGCCGCCGCGATGTACAGATCCTTCGTCTCAATAACAGTCTTGCTGATATAGCCCTCTAGTTCGGACTTCGTCTCCGGTGTAACCTCCTTCAAAAGAGCCATCGCTGGGCGGGACCCTCCTTTCAATTTGACTGACACTGTGTGTCTGTGTCAGTTGTCACATCACAGTTCACAGTTCACAGTTCACACTCCACACATTAGGTCGGAGAGACGGAGAGTCGGGAACACGGCGCCAATAGGGCTTATTTAGTTTAAGTTGAGAGAGTGACGCCTTAACGTAGACATGTAAAAATACTTTGTTTTATAATCTATTTTGTATTTAGGAATGTATTTACTATTCAGAGAGATTTGTTTATTTATTTACACCTGTGTAAAAACTAAAAAGAGCTTCAGGCCTTCAGGCTTCAGCCCGTGGCCCGTGGGCAGGCCCCTAATAAGGCCTTCAGCCCGGGGTAATTGAGTTATGTACTGAAGTACTGTGCCCTTTGGTGGTGTCACTGGTGTGGTCTAAATTCTGATCTCCACACTGAGTCTGAAACTGATGGAGAGAGAGAGAGAGGAGATATGTATTATTTTAAATATATGATTTATATCGGCGGTTTTGAGTTCTTGACTCTTGAGTCTACTCTCTGCAGCTTTCTGGTACACAGTTACAGACAGACCGCTGATGGTCTGATGGCTGATGAGGCTGATGTCAGTGATAAGCGTTAGGCCTACAGTGCTTGACAGACCATTTTGTACTAATTTTTAGTGAAAGTCCTAATAACTGACTTTAGAAGTTCAACTCTTCAAAGTATTTCAATCAGAGTCAGACAATCACACCTGTAGGGGGCACGTGTGGGCACGCGGGCACTACTCTTTTAAAAAACGTGTCTTTGAAATCTTGAATTTTTTAAAGATTTCTGGATATATGTATAAAAGTTGAAAAAAAAGCATAACCTCGTTTCCTTTTTACACAAAGAAGATATGATAAAAAAATAAAAACTATCGTCGGAGTTTGTGGTTCTTTCATATCGGAAGGCCTCACTCAGTCAACAATTGACTCAGGTCTCAACTTCTCAAATCTCAATCCGAGTGACTGCACTCTGCAACTCTGCATACATGCACCACAGGGCACAGAGCAAAATGCGCCGTGTAAAAAAGTGTGCAAAGTGTATGCACCTGTGCACCACAGCACGTAGTACGTACACAGTTCCACATAGTGTAACATTTTTTTTCTAGCTTGTCCGGCTTGTAAAATACGCGTATTTTTAAAATTTATTCTGGTGGTGTATTTGCACACTTTCAGTGTTTATTAATATTTTGTTTTATTTTCAAATAGCACTTATCAGTAACTTAGCGGAACAACGGTTTTGGCAATTGGCTCTCAAAGGTAAACTTCTTATAGTCATACTCTTGAGCCAAGTTCTCTAAAGCACATTCTAATTTTTTTTGTAGTACAGTCGCAATCCCGCAGATGACGGATACAATTGTAAAGTGAGAAATTCTGAGAATCGCTTTTAGTGTTTCATGAAATACTTCTGTACGGGAGTGGATCCTTTAGAGAAAGTTTTATAATATTTACTTGCACCATAGTCCGAAGATAATAGTTTTTCATGCGTGATAGGTATCAGATCTCCTAGAATATACTTTTGAGCTGTTTGCCCACGCATACGTCTTCAATTGCTAGTAAAAATCTCGTGCAGCCGCAAATTCAAGCATATGCAAACACTAAACTAAGATGTAGAGTGGAATTTAATGTCTTTGATTCTCTTTTTCGTCGTATTTGCTAGCAGCATTGATGGATTGCATCGTAAAGATTGTCTGACGCCCCATGTCGCTTGCTAAACAATAATACAAAATATGTCTCCGATATGGGGACTTGAAATGAACCTACTATAGTCAAAAGTCGTGACAAAATTCTGTCGACATAGTTCTGTAGGGACTTGTTATATAAAGGCTTTTACTTGTGCTTACAGTGATAACTAACATGTGGTATGGTCTTGCACCATAGCCTCTCTAATAGTATTAGGTGATAGGTCTATTGTAATAATTTCAACAGTAAACCCTGACATTGTACTTCGAGTCTTCGAGCCCGAGGTTTAAGATGGTTCGGCACTTCTGGAGTTCCGCCTGATAAGTCAGACTGTCCGTGGTAAATAAATATAATAAATGACAGAACTGTTCCAGTTTCATTTCCTGTCGCCCTGCCTGCTAAGTGCTAATGACCAGAAGGCTACGATTGTTTCTTTTCTTATTTTCAAAACAAGAAAATTTCATGTCATAGCCCTCTAAAATTAGCATATATATACACATTTATGGGTAAACAAACACACATACATATATACCAAATTACCAAATTATGAATCCTAATGCCAAGGCATTCGACCCTTCGGCCATGGGCTTGGGTCCAAAGGCCATTCCGTCACAAGCAAATCCATCAAGTTCAAAGACGGAACACAATGCACACCACCTACAACAACAACAATACTCCGCGCCAGGGTACAATTATCTTGACACAGCACAGTCCTACGCCAGTAACGTATCTTCGTTTCAACACGGTGCACACACTAGTCACCATGCTGCACAACATATCCAGTACAATGCGAACGCAAACCAACAGCCGGGCCATACAGGAGGCATGGTAACCTATCCGAAGAAACCTCTGCATACTTTTCTAACGCATAACGGAAACATAGTATCTACATACCCTGTGTCACGAACGCCTCGACATTCGCGCAGAATGTTCTCGATGGATGTTGAGTGTGTAGCTACTGGTACTGGACATTCAGCCAGAAGTCCATGCTCGGTGGTGGTAGTCAACTACGATCTAGAGCGTGTGCTGACATGTTATATTAAACCGGACACCCCTGTACTCAACTACTTAACCGAGATCACTGGTGTGAAGGTAAGGAATTGCAACTTTTGATATATATATATATGTATGTATGTATGTGTGTGTGTGTGTGTATGTGTATGTGCCTGTGTGTGTGTGTGTGTGTGTGTGTACCTGTGTGTGTGAGTATATTTGTATGTGTATATATATACAAGAATATATATATGTGTGTGTGTGTGTGTGCGTGTGCGTATAAATATTTATATATAT